GTCTGGCTCTCTAGGTTTGATTATGTCTGCTCTTCTTTTCTATTGAGCACTTTTTTGGGATAGTTGAGTACTTGTATCAGGGTTTTTTTCTTTGGTTCTTTGGACCTGTATGCTGTATGATTATTTTCGACAGACGTTTATGTTCTTAGCTCTTTCCTTTTTTTTTTAAAACCTTTTTTCATTTCGAACTTGATTTGACCATTAGCAAATCAAAAGAACCGAAAGTTTTCAAGACAGTGTAGTTATATATATATATATACACACACATATATATATATATATATATATATACATACACACACAATTCAGATATATATATATATATATATATATATATATATATATATATATATATATATATCTCCTGAAAATCCAGTTGACCTCTCTTGAGAAAAAAGAGTAATGTTAAAAACAGTGGCTCATACTGCTATTAATGCATTGCTCTTCAACCAAATTGAATTGAGCTCTCTAGGCCACTCACATATTTCACATAGAAAATGTGAAAATTTACCTTCCTCTTTGCCAGGCAATGATATCTTAGGGGTAGAGTCTCTGACTGATACCAAATTGGTCAGGTTTCGATCATGGCTTGAAGCAATAGGATGTATAACTACATTAAGAGCTGTGATACAGCGAAACTGTCTGTTTGTGGATGACTCATATATATAATTCCTTATTCATGAGACTGACATTTATTGATTTAAAGTTGTATTTATAAGACAATGTACTTATACAAGAAATGTAGGTTATCAGTCAAATATACATGTTAAAAAAAAAAATATGTATATATACCAGTGTATATTTAATCCCAGCACTAAATAAAAATCATATCAACAGAATTAAGCAAACCCTTATCTTTGATAAACTATTGGTATCAGAGTAAATTTTCAGTAAGTTTCTTTTGCTGATAACTTGCATAACACGCATGTTCACAAGTGTGTAACAAATTCAAAGATTATCTGGATAGAAAATTCTGGTGTCAAAGATCTAGTACAGCTGATAGACAAGTAGATTTGATCCATCTATTTATCTGCCTAGTAACTTATGGCATATAAGGTCTCTCTGTAGTTTCTGGAAATAAACTGTTCTACAGGGTGGGGTGATTGGCCCTATGTCTAACCTCTTTATCCTGAGGAATGGTTGGTTTTCTGTCGGTGATTTCCTTCCTTTAGATCAGTGGTTCCCAAACTTTTATTCTCTGTACCACATTTTCGGAATTAAAATTTGCTCATGCTTTTAAAAATATGAAAACAAAAAAAAAACAGAGGGTTAAAGGGAGATAACAGCGGATTCAAAGTCAGAACATTATCATTGATAACTCTCTTCCAATTTGCAAACCCTAGTTACTATATTCTTAATATTGATCTATTACAAAAAAATATAACCATGATAAAAATCAGTCAATTATTATTATATACTCAACTGCTATAATCTTCCACTGTACATATGAGATGCACTGCACTTTTTGGGAACCACAGCCTAAGATGAACAAGTGTCACCACACTAATGAGTTTTGGCAACTCTGGTTTGGAATCAGTTTTTCTTCTTCTAGAGCGTGGTTCCCCACCTTAAGCAGACCAGTCTGTAGTCACTCTCTATGTGAAAATTGGTCTTGCTATAGTAATGGTCATTCACTCCTGTGATGTGTTTGTCATGACCTTAGGGGTTGCATCCATTATTTCTATACCTCATGTCCCTACAGGAATACCCATATTTGTGGCATGGAGATGTAACTACAGAATTCACTCTAGCACCAGAAACGAACATATAGATTAATTACCATTAATTTATTTTACTAGTTAACTCTTTCCTCTTAATTCTAGTTGTTTTTCAATGCATTTATTCAGATTGTCATTATATAGTCATTTGTAGACAGTATGGATGAGAAATAAGTTGTTATGGAAAAATCATGCTCCAAAAGGAAAAAGGCAGCAAGATCAAATCTCATCAAGAGCTTATTCTTTGTTTCCAATACTTACTGTTAACTGTCTGAATAGGTGCAACAAAGAGCAACTAAAATTAGAACTTCATTTAATAAAGAAATTATTTCAATTAATATTTAACAATGTATATTTGTATATTAAACAGTAAATAAAAGAATTTCTTTTTTATCATAATAGTGATCAAATAATTGTTTAAAATTGTTTTAACATTTTAAAAATTAAAAATAGTGACAAAATTGTTGCTAAAGTTGCACAATGACCTTTTAATACCAGTGAGACATAAAAGACTTGGAGTTTTAAAGATAATTTACTTTTCAACTCAAGTTTGAGCAACTAGATTTAGCGACAAAGTGGTTACTGAAAGTCTAAAAGCTGGTGGTTTTACCCTGGAGCTATACTGTCTGTCCCAAAAGAATATGAATGGGGGTGGGGATGAAATGAAATATTTAAAAATAGAAAATATTCCTTTCCCCACCACAATAAGTAAGAAAAGAAACTATTTGCTGTTGAATGCAATTAATTCTGGAAAGATACTTAGAAGTTAGGTTGAAATAGTTTTGGCTTATGGAACAATTTTTTGGCTACTTCAACATGCTTAAAAAATTGACACTGCTCCAAGATCCAGGAGAGAATGTAAGCATGTGTGCATGCAAGCGCACATTCGTGCCTGTGCATATCTGTCTATGTACTAAGACCATCATTGATGATTGGGAAGTTGCTTGTATGTGTGGATGTATGCACAAATGCTCACATATACATACAAAATAGTAAATGCTGAAAACAGTCAGAGGTACATTTACACACCTTTATTATATACAGGAACAAGTAAAAGAAATATATTTTAGACAGATGCACACAAAATTAAATCTAGAAAAGCCAGCTAACACACCCATGTTTATACCAGCATGTCAAAATGGGCAAAGATCAGGAATTCTGGGACTATCAGGGAGGGGCAGTAAATAAGCAAGCAGACTGTCTAGAAATGAACATCTCTCAGATAAGATAACATTCCAATATTTAAGGAAGTATCAGGTTTGCTTATTTTACACGCACACTCACAAAAAAAAAAAAAAAATCCCAAATCAGGTAGAGCAATAGAAGCAATGAATAAAAACAGACAATGCATTTGAAAAACCTACTTCATTTTGTAACACATTTGAAAAACCTACTTCATGTTGTAAACCTAATTCACACATCATTTTTAGACAAAAGCAGAAAAATCTTTCGCAGAATTGACTTTAATAAAGGCTTAGAGATTTATAAAAGAAAAAATAATGGTTGATATGTTCTAAGACCTATACCACCTCCACCCCAAATGACTGAAGTCCATTAGTTGACTGAGGAACTTTTTCTAATGATGGATTCTGATGGCTTTAAGGACATTTTTATATTTTTGAAATACTATAAAAAGATGGTGTTCTACACTATTTCAAACAATTATGGAAGAAGCCTCTATCAGTATTGGAAAGAGCAATAACAGTTACTAGACTTGAGAGACCTATTTTCTTGAAAAATTATTTTAAGAGAAGGAGTTTTTTTTTTATTTTTTAACAGTAAGTAACACTTGATGTTTGGTCAATGAATGCCAACTGTTGCTCTATTAGAAAACAATATTACCATTAAAGAATTATACTTATGTCTTTTTTTGTCTTTATATTTTACTCCTTCAAATATATACTGCCTATTAATCCATAATTATTCAACAATAATGTAACCATAATTAATGTAACTGAAAGTTCTATGCTAACAGTTTCTTCTCTCACACTTCTTGTTTGTGGAACTCTTCTGGTTTCTTGTTTTCCAGTCAACTTTGATCTTAAAAAATTTAAATGCAATGTCAATCATTATTTTCCGTTTTCTTATTTCCTGTTCTTTATTGTTCTCTTTTTCTTATATTCTCTAATGCTCAGTCACTCCCTTATATCTTAGTGGATTTATTGCCTTGCTTGGGGTGAGATGATTAAAAAAATTCAAGTATCTAGACATGAATATGTAGAGGATTAATAATTTCAAAATATTTCTCACAATAGCTACAAATTTTTAAATAAAATACATTTTCACTTTGTTCTTCAGGCTTAAAGATATTTATTTACTTGACTGCAAAAAGACATGAGTGAGCATACAAGGAAATAGTAAGACAAATATTATTGTAACAAGTTTAACTTTGATTGAAAATGTAACACTAGGGTCAGACTAGTTTAAACTATAGAACTAATAATTGTTACCAAAGAGCAAAATTATCTTGCTAGTTTAATGAGTTCAATCCTCACTGAATATAGCCCTTTGTGTGAAACTAAGTTATGCTTAGTAGAAATGATGTGCCTGGTTTAGAGTAGGTGTCTGTCTCCAGATGATGCCATTTCTAGTTTGTCAAATATCTTGATATTTTTTTTTTTTTTTTTTTACACTTGTCATTTTTTTTATAAAAAATTTTCTGAATTATATCATGCTGATTACAACAAAGATCCAGATAAAACTTATTCATCTGAATTTTATTCATTTATAAAACTAATTTTTCCCTTTGGTCAGTATGTGTAAAATGTATGATGTAACTTTTTACTAAATTTTTTTAAAACTGCCAGCTTATCTTGCAAACTATTTTCCTTTATTGTGGTCTTGTACAGTTATAAGCTAAGCTTATTAAATTTAAATAGTGAGAGAAATAGGATGACAGTAACTGCAGGGTTTTGTGAATTAGATGAACCAGCATTGAAATATTAATAAAATACACCATTTTTTAATAAAAAAAAATATATCAACAAACATGTTTTTGATTTACTTTCATCTTTTGGATTTTTAAAATTTCCTTGATGGACAGTTTTTTGATTTATATAAGAATTTTATGATTAGTTATTAGGAAAAACTATAAAAATATTTTTTTAAATACATTTTGAAAGAGCAGTAAATGAAAAAAGTTGTATTGATTATTAGAAGGTTAAATAAATATTTTTCAGCTTGCTGCAATTAAACATTAATGATACATCCTCCTCATCATTAAGACTGCTCAAGGCAAATTTTTCTGAAAATACAAAGTAAGGTTCTCTCAAGGGTACTTACCTAATTGGGTGATCTCCACAGGCTTTGGGTCGTTCCATCATAGAAACCCACTTCTCATCATAACTAAAGAGAGCAAGATCTAGATAAGGGCTGCTACTAAAAGACTGGGCATTGATGGGCAGTTGGGCCAATAGCCTCTTAACTGCTTCTGTGTGACCGCCAAATTTTGCATTAATGATAGTTTGTTTAAAGCGGTGCTGCATCTGTCGAGCATGGATGTTGCTGGAGGCTGAACATGTGAATTGCATATCACTATGTAACATAGCATTACGAAACACATCACAAAAGTTCTCAAAAAGCTCCAAAAGATTTTCAGATGTATTTTCATAGACAGCCAAAACTTCGGTGGTAATCATATTATAAACAACAAAAAAAGATGGCTGAGAGTTGGGATCAGTCACACGCAGTGTGACAACCTCCTCACTGGCATATTTTATCAGCAAGTGCTCAGCATCTATCAGCTGCATCTTCCACATTCGTAAACTTTTAAACTGGTCAAAATATTGATAAAATTTACGCAGCTCATACATACAGTTTGTTCGCTTAGCACGGGCATATAAGAATACCAGCAACCTGTGTTTGAGTGAATTAATAGTTTTTTCAGCCATTGGTCGGATTTGATGACAGTTTGAAGCAGGGTCAAGCCCAAGCCGAAGGATAGTTTCATCATCATCAAAGCAAAAACGTCCTACACATCGAACATCGACAAACTGACCATCCTTTGTTATCTGGAAGATATGAATAGTTTGTTGCTGTACAGAGAGGACGGCCAGTGTGTCCTTATACAAATATAGTCCTTGGTTATGTGAGAGGAAGATCTTGTCGCACTTGAACTGACGCGTGTCACAAAGTAAGCCAGTCTCCAGTTCGACAATGTGGAGAGAGTAATCTTCCAGAGGTAGGCGGGGATTTGGTGGCACAGATTCATTATTGCGATAGATTTCAAAGAACAGTGGTGAGGGATCTTCTGGAACATGAATAGCGGAGCCGACAATGACATATTTACTGTCATCAGTGAAAAGGCTGCATTCACGATTTAGCTGCTCGTGGTTTGCTGCCACAACAGTCACCTGCTTCTGGGTAAAAAAGCGATCAAATAATTTGCTGTGCAGGTAGGACAATTGTGGGTCATAACCCGAGGAAGTATGCTCTCCACTGAAGTGTTTGAGTAAGTCTGCAGCAGCTGCTGGGCCATTGAATTCATAAATCTCAAGTGAGGTTTGTGCAGCGGAAAAGGCTATAAAGTAGCGACCATCAGGTGAAAACTTCCTCAGGAAACATGGTGGTTTTTCCACATTGACAATTGTAAAGTTTGGGAAAATGTTTGTGTAGAACATGCGAGACTGGTTGAATTGTACACCAGGTCGTCCCATGTTGATCTGGCGGGTGAAAATACGATGGACAACATTTTGATTAGGGATTTTCCGTGGTTTGATTTCATCATTTATCCATGCATAATATGTATCAGACATGCTGTGGTCATCTTATGGCCCCATTAATTGACCAAGCCTAACACAGTCATTTTGAGATTAAAAGACACAAACCAATCTTAGAATGAGTTGAGGCTTGGTTTTGGTGAAATGTCAGTCTTTATATGGAGATGCACTGCAAGTAGAAAAAAAACAAAAGAATGGAAATAGCAAAGAAAAATGTTAAAGAAATAGTGGCAAACATGGATAAATGTGCTTGCAATAAGACAGTGTCAAATGGACAGTTTTTCCCATGATACTACTTTTTTTTTTTAACTCTTTGGCAATGTTTATTGTTTTAAACAGCAATGATTAGAATTGTAATAAAACCTAAACACATGAAAGTGAAATTATATATTTTCTTTGTTCTTGAGAATTTTCACAACAAAGATAATAAACACTATTTATTTATGAGACTGTTTATTTACATTATTTATTGGAATGGTTGACAGAACATTGGCTAATTGCCAATTGAGCCAAACTTTATAAAATGGTAAATAATGATTTCCTTATAGTTGGTCCACATACTTTGATAATTTAGTAAATGTTTATAAATTTATGAATAAAATATTGTTTTCATATTTATTTCTTTATAAATTGGCAAATGATAAATATTGCATTACATTAGGTCTTATTGTACTAGTTTGAGAAAGTTGTAGATATAAAATTATTTTTGTAAATAAAGAGTCCAATAAATAGTATTTAATATTTTTGTTGTAAATTCTCAAAAATGCATAAATTCATTTTCATCATATGTTAAGGTTTTATTACAATTCTACTCATTGCTTTTTGAAAGAATAACCATTGCTGAAGAGTGAAGGTAGTTAAAAAAGCAGTGTCATTGGAAAAACCATCCTCTTGACATTATGTCTTATTGCTGGCATATCTGTTGGTGTTTGCTGAAATAGTTTCAGTATTAAATTTCCAGATGTTTTATTGTAATTGGCATATTCAGTTTATTTTGGTTTCTTTATCTAAAACATCTCAGCTATAACATGAAAGTACAAAGAAATAAATTCTCAAAAATAATATTAAAAAAATTACTTGCCTGCCATAATTACAAAATGATAGCCATATTCAATGAATATAGGTAAACAAAACAAAATATTCAAAAGAAATATGCATAGATAATTCACTGAACAGAGAAAAATACATTCAGATACTCATACAACTTCATTAGGTACAGGATTTTGTAAGAGGTCATCAGTTAATTTTTATTATAATTTGATCTTTTTTATAAAGTAATGATAATATCAGCCACTTTGCTATGAAGGTTGTTCAAAAAGTTTTAAGACTCACCCAGAAAGAAAAGCCATAGCTGAACACTACTATTTCATATAAAACTAGAAAAACTAATTCAGATTTCTGCTTTAAATTCTGTGCAGGTGAGTCCTATACAAAAGTGAGAAATGGACAAAACAGAGGCCTGAGCAGTCAAAGTATCTGCAAAAGAAAGGTATGACACCCAAGGAAATCCATGAGGACATGGTACAGACACTTGTTGAGGACTCCCTTTCCTATGCAACTGTGAGGAAGCAGGCTGTAAAATTCAAACATGGTAGGGACAGCACAGAAGATGACCCTTTATTTTCTCTAAAACTTCATTGTTGCTCACATGTTCTGTCCATGATATCCTGAGTATCCTTCTGTAGAACCACATTTCCATTGATTCAAGTCTCTTCTTCATCTTTGTGGAGATTGTCCAGCATTCACTACCATATAGGAGAGCAGATATAACAATTCAATAGTTTTTTCCTTTGTTTCTAACAAGGTTTTCCTGTTTCTTAGTACTCTGCTTAGCTTTTGGAATGCATCTTTGGTTATCCCAATACACTTTCAGATTTCAGTACCACACTTTCCATCCCCTGTTAAAACACATCCCAGATATTTAAATTTTTTTTTTTTTTTTACTTGTTTATCTCATATGTAATTTGCATTTTGGGCTCATCCTTTTGCTAACAACCATGCATTCTGTCTCCTCTTACAGTTGATGTTAATACTTCCTTTTAGCTTTCCCTCACTACCTTATGCAAAATATTTTTTAGTTTTCTTTCAGTGTCTGCTATTAACACTGGGTCATCTGCATATATTAAGACTGTGGCCACCAAAATTTACTAAGAGTTGCAAAAGACAGAAAATTGTGAAGAGACATGATCACCTATATCCTGAAGGGACTGGAACATAGAAATAGTAGTTAGCTGTAACCAATTCTTAACTTTCAGTATTTGGTTTTTTGTCTAACTCGATAACAACAATGTATGAAATTGAAAGTTGTGAAAAATTTGAAATTTTTTTTTTTTTTTTTTTAGAAAAAAATTAACCACTTGGAATTGGTAGATGGCAAAAGTTTTTTTTTTTTTTGTCCTTGAGTAATTGATGATCTCTCAAAAGATTTTTGTCTTGGGACTTCTTACCATGGGAATGAATCATACAGTGAATGATTCAAGACAATTCATAGATGGAAAGGAAGTGAAGGCAATGATTGCCTTGGAAGGACTGGTGTGATATTTGACATTGATAGTAAATAACGGATAGAAACAGCATTTTTAATTTTCCAAAGAAAACAATAAAAATCATGTTTTGGAGCAAAAAATAAAGAGTTCATCCTTTTATATATATATATATATATATATATATTCAAAGGTTTGAGGCCAACACTGGTAATTTTTTAAAATTGAGCCAAAAAGGAGATGTTTAATACTTTAAGAGAAAATGATTAAACATGGTTAAAAAAAGAAGAGAGATGATTTTTTTTTTTATTAGAAATTTTATTATGATGAAGAAAAAAAAAATCATTTTATGATTAAATTTTGCTCTCGTCAAAATATCCTCCTTTAGCCTCGATTACTGCAACACATTTTTTGCAAAAGCTTACAAAATATAAGTTTCATAATTGATTCCATTCTTTTTTCAATGACTCTAAGAACTCTTTTCATTTTTGGGGGCAGAAAGGTTTTGCTTTTCTGTCAAGTCCATTTCATGCTAATTCTGAGGATGGCTTCAAGCTTTTGACCTGTAGTGTGTGTGTGTGTATATATATATATATATATATATATATATATACTCCACTCTCAAGTGGTTAAAAACTAGTAATTTGTTGTTGATACAATCTAGTTATATTGTTTGAATAAGCAGTAAAGCAAAACATCATAAATTTATTACTCTGATTGTTGTCACTGTATTCAGAGTTTTATCATTTCATGAACTTTCATTATCACCCTTAAAACCTTACACTAACCAAAAGGACAAATATTACATTACAATAAGGTTTTTCTATATATAGACCCATATATAACAATTCTGAAAACTTTAATAGAAAAAAAGTTATGTAGGAAAATTATTATCATTCACTCATTCAACACTTTTTAGCAGTATCCTAACTTATTGAAGACTGCCAAGTATTAATTTACCTGCTTTCAAGCACATCAAATTTTCCTAACAAAGAAAATCTAAAGTGTATACTTCCATGTACAAGTTTAACATTTCTATAAATTTTTAGCTGATAGTGGTTAAACTTCAACTCAAAATTTATAATACAATCCATGCAGCAATGACCAGAGAAAATGATTCCTAGAAATCAAAACTGTAAATATTTGTACAAGATCTGTATCAAGGATAAGACAATTGTTGTAAGAAGTTCATTTTTCACTGGTTCAAAAATAATTTTTTCTTTCTTTAAATTCATACAATTACAAGTATTTTTCCATTTATTAATAGCATTCTGAATTTGAATGATGCTGAGTGTATTATAGAAGTGATATCTATTTGCTAAATTTTGTATCTGCACTGGATCTTAAGCTACATGATCTTCTATATCTGTCTTGCATCTTAAACTCCCAAATCTTCTGTATCTGGCCACTAGACTTTTGATACCTGTCCTGTATCTTAAAGCCCTGAGACATCCTTTTGTTTGAAATTCTTTGTTGCTAAACTATTTTATATACACCTTGAAAGCTGAATAGCAAAGTGACTTAAAAATAAAGCTGAACTCCACTTTATGTAAATACATGACCTTAAATATTTTTGAAATATTCAAATCCTAAATATTTAATACTTAAAAGCAGAATCAACAATAGGTTAACCATAATTAGTTCTGTTTGGTTTACTTATTGTTTTATATATATATTTCCAATATCTTATGCATAACATTTCAACCATCTTGGCCAAAGTATTCAGTATAACCAATATCTCTTACAGCTATAACATGTTGAAACACTGGTTCTTGTATAATCACTAAAGTTAAGCAACATTGAGCCTTGAGAGTAACAGATGCTGTAAACTTGCATGTGTGTGTGGTGAAATGAATAACAATTCAAAATTTGAAATTCGAGTTAAGTTCATTATATTCACTTACATGCAAATAACTTTGGGAAAGCTATGAATCCACCACTTCTCCCCCAGCTACTGGTTAATTAGTAAGACTTGTATCAGTAAATCACTATTACTTTAAATTTTTAAAAAATTCTTACAATCCAAAAATATTTTCTGGCTTTAAATAACAGGTAAAAGTTGATAAGCCATAAAAAAAACGAATCAATCTATTGGTTTACAAATGTTTGTGCTAATTTTAAAGACAAATATCAAGTCAGATTCAGAGCTGTTATAAGAGTCTCCAAATATATTTTAGTCATAAACGCTGTCACTTGTAAAGCTCATCTGGTTGTAACAAAGATTATAAGGGTCAGAATGTGTCAGAGATTAAAGGGAATATGAAAGAATATAAATTGGTGGCAAAAGTGCTTACTAAAGTATTTTCTAACAAAGGTCAAGTGTACATTCAAAATAGAATAATTAAGATCATTCAAATTATAATCATTATAAAAATGTTTGTTGGTTTATGAAGAGAAATAAGTATACCAAAATCAGTGTCAATATTGATTGAACTTGTTACTTTTTGTTTTGAAATGATTAAATTTCTGCTTATCTTAAACTGCTATAAATCAATTTGATTTAAGTGATAGAAGAAATAATTAGATTTAATCTGGTTAATGCTATATCATTCCTTTATGAGTCAAAAGAAAAGAAAAAATATTACAGAGTAACAATGACAATGTTTATTTGATGTATAACTGAAGACAATATCAACCAGCTCTAAATTTGCTGTTCATAAAAGATGTCATTTTATTACTGAACTGAATATCTTCAATCAACATTCATTTGACCTGTAATATACAGAACTTAAGATATATTTTGGGTACGAAAAGTCATTTCCACTAAGCAAATACTGACCGGTCAATTGTGAAAGGGTAAATATGCCAGGTAAACAAACAGTAAAAATATCTTATATGGTATTATTAAAACAAAAAAACGAAAGAAAAAAACAAAAGAAAATAATCACAATTTGTACATAATCAGTTTTTACATTTTTTTTTTTTTTTTTTTTACTCTAATGTCGCAGCTGTCGGCACAAGTTTCAAGGTAATCAAACTAAAGAAATACAAAACTAAACAACTACTGGCAGTAGCTGACTTGCAAATGATTACATAAACACTAAATCAGCAGAAAAAGGAGAATAGGAAGGAAAAAGACACCCAACTGACACCAGCTGCAGGTAGCAAAATTGTAAAAGGCCTGAGAAAGTGACATATTTGACAATGGCCAGATGTTACCAGATTGACCTATCCGACCAAAAGGACAACTTAGTGAAAACAGTCTCTTCTTTCCTTTAGGGAGAATGACAGAGAAAAGGATATAAAATAATTAAAAGTTATTTTAATAATTTCTCTTTTATACTTCATATGTGAATGAATTTTATATATAAAAAAAAGAGGTAAAATGCCATGTAGGGCCTTGAAGAAGAGGGTTTTATTCACCAGAATAAGTGAAAGGACAACAGGTGGCAAATGAGAAAAAGGAAATTTGGGGATCGATATTTGCAAAATTTTCCAAAATTTTTACTGATGAAACTAACAAGGCCAATCTGAAAGAGGCCACCTAAATTTAGAAGGAAATATAGTAGGCCTCCTGTTAATATAGGAGAGGACAGCTGTTGTTTGATATGGAGTTTGATCTCAAAGTGGAAAATATAAATATTATGAAGACAATGCACTTAGAATTACTTTACTATAGTATTACATTACTATAAATGTAAATGAGTCTCCTGTATTTAGTTCAGAATGTATTTCTAATGATTGAATTTTGGTTAGTATTCCAGTATAGACATGTTGTTAGAGGAAGATCGTTCATGCATATTACTATTACTTTGATTTAATAAAGTTGAAACCCACTCCTAGATCAGGGTGGCCAAATTGGGCTACATTCCAATGTTTAGGTGCTATTAAATTTTGAATCGACAAATCTCAAAGTTCAGCTAGCAGCTAATAAATGCTTGTTAATTTACTCATTTTTTCAGAAGCATCATAAAAATGTTTTGCTAATTTAAACTATTAAATAATTTTAGTCCTGAAATAGAAAATATTCTTAAAGAATATATTTTTTTAATTATATAAATATTCATATCTGATTTAATATTCTGATTACCAAGGCAGTTCATAGCATTGGCTCAACACCAATATTTTTCAACCAGATATAGAAACAAATAACTCCAGCACTCTACCACAAAATTGATATTTCTACTACCCAAATCAATCTGTTTTAATTTCACACCAAGCTGGAACATATGGGGTGAAGAGCAAAGAATAATAAAATAATAGAACTAAAAAGGGAGTTTTTCTGTTATAATGGATACACTTCACTGATCCATCCCAATCCATCCCATTATGAAGTAGAAGTCAGTAGAAAATGGTGTGGAAAAGGAAATGGTTCAGAAAAATATGGACTGCAGTTATCAAGTTGCAAGATAGACAAAAAAAAAATAAAAAAACACCTAAATGTAAATTAAGCTAAAATTACATGAAAAAATTCAACTAATAGCAGCAGCAACAACAACAATAATCTAATATAATAATAAATGTGTATAATGAAAATTATTCATTAGAAAAATAAATGTGAAAAGAACTTAAATTATGGCTGATTTGGGCTTTTGTTGTTGAAAGGTTTAAGAGAGAAAGGAGAGGAAAAATCTGTAGTGGGGAAAAAATGTAAAGAAAAAAAGAGGGAAAGAGAACAAATGAGAAAGTTAAAAGGAAAAATAAAAATAAGAAAAGAATGAGGGGAACTAGAGAAAGGGGAGGAAGAGACCCAGAACAAGCTAAGCAAATAACAGAGGAGAAGCCAAGGCGAGGGAGAGGACAAGCCAAGGCGAGGGAGAGGACAAGCCAAGGCGAGGGAGAGGACAAGCCAAGGCGAGGGAGAGGACAAGCCAAGGCGAGGGAGACAAGCCAAGGCGGGGAGAGGGACAAGCCAAAAGCCAGGAGGAGCCAAAGGGGGGAGGACAAGCCAAGGGGAGAGGACAAGACAGGGAGGACAAGCCAAAGGGAGAGGACAAGCCAAGGCGAGGGAGAGAGGACAAGCCAAGGCGAGGGGAGGAGGGACAAGCAAGGCGGAAAGAGGACAAGCCAAAGGGAGGAGGGACAAGCCAAGGCGAGGGGAAAATGCTTCAAGGCAGGGAGGACAAGCCAAGGCGAGGGAGAGGACAAGCCAAGGCGAGGGAGAGGACAAGCCAAGGCGAGGGAGAGGACAAGCCAAGGCGAGGGAGAGGACAAGCCAAGGGGGAGGGACAGGACAAAAAAAGGCAGGGAGGACAAGCCAAAGAGGGAGAGGACAAGCCAAGGCGAGGGAGAGGACAAGCCAAGGCGAGGGAGAGGACAAGCCAATGCGAGGGAGTGAGCAGTGATATGAAGGCATATAAATAAATTCCGTGTTTGAAAGGTATGCTAGTGCATGTATATACACAATATATACATGATACACAATGCATGAAAGGAAAGTTTGTAAAGTAACTGAGAGAGTGAGTAAAGAATTTCTTTTTGCTGATAAGTAGTCATTCATATGAGAGCAAATGTCACAAGAACAGATTCAACACAAATCCCAAGAGAAAAGTTGTAAATGGTGAAATTGACAAAGTGAATAGAATGAGTGAATTGGAAAACACAGTAGTAATAATAAAAAGAGAAAAAAAAAAAAAACAGGAAAATATAGAGAAGCAGTGAAAAAAAATAAATAAGGTACATAAAAAAATTATCATTTAAGGGGGGGGCTAAAATACAGGTGTCAGAAATTAAAATAGAGACAAGATGAAAATAGTAATACCCAACTGATGCTTTTTTGGTAAGGGGAGTGCTAAAGTGGAAAAATCATATCTGTTCCTCTCTAGAATGAGTGAAAGAAAATCATAATGAAATGACAGACAAAAAAAAAATAAAAAGTGCTCATAGTATTTCTTTTGCATATCTCTATCCTCACCTTCCTAGCAAACACACACACACACACACTTCCACTGATGCAAACAAGAGTAGAATTGGCTTTGTTAGAAGAAATAGAAACAATGATAGTCTTTTTCTATTAATTTATTATCTTCCTCTACCTACACATTTTTATTGCAGTTGTCCTATAGAGCACTAAACCCTTTGACAAAGGCAATAAATTCCATGCCATTGAAAGTAGAATTGAGCTTAAGCAAGAGGGTTAGGTGTAAAATCTGTTACATAGTGAGTAGGGTTGAGATGGGAGTTAAGGTTCTGGATCAACTGGAATGGCCTTAATAGTAATGTGAAGGAGGAGTACAAAAGAAGAATCAATATTATACAGAAGCATTTAAGGATAGGGTGCAGGCAAAAGTAAAGGTGATAATGATACTTAAAATTAGATATTTAATAAATAGAAAATTATTGAAAAATATAAAATATCACATACGCACAATCATACTACCCATAAAAAGATTGGATTATTTATACATGGATCAGCACTTCTGCTTTGGATTGCTGTATCCATGTACTTTGCCAAAAACCAAGTGTCATTCACCAATCAGGTGATTCAGGATTGGGGAATAACACTTTGATCCTTGGCAAAGCACACATATCTTGAGAGTGTGTAAGTGTTATATGGCTTAAGGTCATTAGCATCAGTTGTTTTTTCTATCAGGATGAAGAGAATTTTGCAACATTCTCATAAAAAAGCTAAAAAAAAAAAAAAGTCTAAATGTTTATATACATAAACAGTTGTCACACATTATGAAACGGACAAAGTCCAACAATTATTTTAAGACTTTTTTTTTTAATGTTTATACACTCTTTTTATAGATACAAATATTTAAGTAAATGCTCTGTTTATAATAAACAGTATTAACGACATTTACCGGAGGATGCATATTTTTTTTTTGAAAAATTCTCGGACATCCAGGCCAGTAAATGTTGTTAATACTGTTTATTATAAACAGAGCATTTACTTAAATATTTGTATCTATAAAAAGAACGCATAAACAAAAAAAAGTCTTAAAATAAACAGTTGTATCTACACAAAAAACTTCAAAGGACAACGAGATAAGTTCAATCTGTAAAAATTTTAAAGACATTTTTCAAGAAGCACATTCTCAAATACTATTTTAGAGATTAATTATCTCCCTTGACATGAAAACTTAAGTCAGTAAACATTAAATTTAAATCAAGTTCTCCAATCAAATTAAAGTCCCATAGCCCATGTCATTTTTTTTTTTCAAGGATTTGATTTGAGTTTTAAATAGTCTACCATGACTGGGAGAGATAATGGAATGGTTTCCCCATTGCCTTTATGGTGACTCTGAGACACCACTTCTAGTTAGTTGGCTATTATCCACTTTTGAGTTCATACACCATTTGGTAGATTTTATTTTCATCCTACAGGGTGGCTAATGACCCACTTTACCCTCTTTTGAAGAGCAATTAGTTGCAATTCAGTTAGTGAAAAATGCATGGTGATCAACAAAAGAGATAGCCCAAGGTGTGAGCTACATATTGGGAATATCAAAATCAAGTGCTTGATTTTGATATTTTCAATATGTAGCTCAGAATTAACTGTTTACATAGTATAGTAACTGATGAAGGAAATATGAAACAGAAATACAAAGGCACAGAAATAACAAAAGATATCTTCCAAACTAAGCAAAGTATTAAGACAAAAATATTGCTAAAAATAAAATAAAAGTTCTAAACTGTAAATTTATTTTCTTAGATGACAGAAAATGCTGGACATTTTCCCCAAAGATGAAAAAGAGACATGAAGTGACTGAAATGTGGATCTTCTGATGAATGCTAAGAATATCATAGACAAAATATTTAAGCAATGAGGAAGTCTTAAGGAAATACGAATAGAAAGTAAACTTACAATCAGAAAGACAGAGTGTATTCTTAAATATGCTTGAACAGTTTGCATTATAATTAATTTTAAATCCTATCTGATGCAAACTTATTATTTTTTTATTTTAATAGTGGGTAAGTTATGATAATACACAGATAATAATAATAAAAAAAGTTGGTTTACTGTGTTGTGCTAGACAATTTTTTTTCTCCAGAATACATTTTACATATCTATAAGTCTACCATTCATCCATGCTTAGAATATTACTGCCACATATGAGCTGGTGCTCTTGTTATATATTTTTCTGGATAAAATTCAAAGAAGAATCAGCAATATTATTGGCCCTGACCTGGATCTCAGCTTCATTTACTTTTCCACCACCTTAAAGTTGCTTTCCTGTGCCTTTTTTATAAATACTTTCATGGTAAGTGTTTGGACGAGTTCATCACTATGGTGCCTAAACTTTATGAATTTAAGCGCAGTACCAGGTTGGCAACAAGGTCTCATCAATTTATAGTTGAGCTGATTACATGTATCCATAACTTTTATGCTAACAGTTTCTTTTCTTGCTTGTGGGACTCCTCTTCTGAATCCATGCTTTCCAGTTAACTTTAAGCTCCAAAAATTTAAATACAATGTCAATTGTTAACTACTGTCTTCCTGATTACTCTTCTATTGCTTTTTAGTAATATTTAAGCTTTCTTATTCTTTCACAGCCTGTAATCCCTTGTATTTTAGTGGCTTTATTGTCTTGTATGAGGTAAATCTAAATAAATAAAATAAATAAAAATCTGTGCGGGGTTATAGTTGCCTACATCCTGAACAGACATGGCATTTAAAAATATAAAGTTATATAAATCACAGACAATGATCTAGGATATAGATTTAGGATTTTTATGATAAATCTTTTCTCAGCAGGTTTCCATTGGGTTTTTGAGTTCTTCAACAGTTTGGCACTTCCATTAAAAGTATACATTAACTGGTTTCCTTCACAATAAATAATGACTTCCCTATCAACAAATTTATTCCTTTATTGTAATATTCAATTTATAATTTTTGTATTCCACCATTGCCACTGCAGGGAAAATTTTGCTGTCTTCCATTGCACTTGAACTATTTTAAATTGTATAATAGGTAATTTTTTTCTTTCCCAAATTCTTTTTCTTTTTTTTTTTTTTAGTGTGGCTCTTTTCTTTCAAGAATACCTGCTTCATCAATTTCATCTTAATCACTGACGTTTGAGTCTTGTTATAAAAACCAGATAAGGGAGGATTTCATAATATTAGTATTTCATCTTTTCTCTCAGAAGTATGTGCTGTTTTATAGGGCCAATGCAAACTATATAATCTATTTAAAATCATTTATAAGCCTTAAGAAAAAAAATCCATTAACTGAAACACTATATAAAATTCACGTATTCATGGAATCTTTCATGAAATTTTTATTTTAAAAAATTGCTTGAAAGATAATGCATAACCATTGTGATAGTTGCATCATTATCATTCATCTTCCTTTGTAGTTTTATCAAGAAAGCCTTGGGCAATCATTTTCTTATTAAGATCTACTGAAACAGATGTCACGATTTATGTCTTAAGATTAAATTTTGCATGAAACTTTGATATGCACTTAAAGTATAAGCCTAGTTCTCACATTTTATGAAATAATTTATATATTAACCTGTCTCTTTATCAACAAAAGTTAGTTATTTCAACTGTAAGTAAAATTAAAGGTCTACGTGATTATACTAATGTTAAGACCTTTACAAGAAGAAAAGATCAACATGTTGCAAATCAATAATTTAGTGAAATAGTAACTGGGTTTGAATTACTTATGTTTTATGCCAATCCATTGGGAAAAGAAAATTTGATTTCTTTCATTCTTCAAACTGCAATTTTATTATTACAGCAAATATTGTATAAGGCTGATCAATATGAAATTAGGTTTTGTTTTAACCTTTATCATTCTGTATGTGATTTCATTTGTTGTACAAAAAGTCTATCCTGCCGCTGAAGGTGACTGATATCTGAACATTAGTGTTTGAATTTTATAGTTGTGCTGTCATATCCTTCTATGACAACAAAAAATTTTGAGAGAAGTTAACAATAAGAATATTGCAATTATAACTTAAGGCCTTGGAAAAAATATAGTAGAAAGGGAAGTAATATTAATAATGCAGAAGGCTAAAGGTTAAGCTTTACCTTCTTAATTGTAATTTTGTTTTAAAATGATTATTCAGTAAAAATGTAAGTTCATTGATTTTTTTTTAACATTTTTTTAAGACACTTATGGAAACTTTTTCAACTAATGAGTTTTATATTTTTGTTATATACCATACCTATGAACACTAATGGGTATGTATCGATCCACATAAATACATTGGACACTATTGTAAGTGGGAGTAATATGCTGCCTCAGTAGTTCATCACTAGCAGTGGTTTACCTACTTCACACCACTGGCAAGTATTGTACTTTGTTGATGTTATAAAGATTATTTTCATTTCCAACCGCCATTTTGGTTATTCCTCATACAGTAACCTTTTCTATGTTACAACATATTTTATACTAGTTTAAGT